AATAAATATAAATTAACATAGAAGATATCATATGCTCACAGATTATTATACTTTAGGGCAAAGTAAGAGAAAGAGAGGGAGAGAGCAATCCTTTAACTGCAAAAGAATGGGAATTTTGATAAATATTGCTTGTGTTATTTTTTATCCCTTTTCACTTATTTCATTTAAATAATTTTTAAGAATTTAAGCTTTTTTAACATGTGAAAAGTTACTTCAATAAATCCTTCTGAAACACTTTATCCAACATTTCTTATCCATCTTTATTCCAAAACTTAATGTTTCTGATTTTAAATTTGTTTCTATACAATTCAAATAATGTTAAAAACCAAAAATGGTAATGACTCTTAAATAAAAGCCAGTTTGTTTCCATTGTAAGTCATCATATTCTTAAAGACAAGTGCAAGTGATAATTAATTTTAACCAAAAAGTATTTTATAATCATCTCCCCATATTTTGTTAACACAAGTCATTTAACTTCAGACACAGAATTGAGAATGTAAAATAAAAGTAAACATTGAATCAGGATATCAATACAGAAAGATATGCAGTACTCCAACATCTAAATTTAAATTAAAACAAAACAAAAAAATAAATAGGACAGCTTCTTATCTACCCTCTCTCCTGCCTGCTGGATTTTAGAATTTTACTTCCCCTTTGCCTATTTTCTTATTTTATTCGTATGTATTATAAAAGAATAAATATATTCTTCCTTTAAAAAGAAACTCTGAAAGGAAAGGAAGTGTTCATTTCACTCCTGTCAGATATGGAGTCCTTTTCCCTCAGTTATCATTGATATTTTTTATTATTTTCATAATTCCTTCTTGATTGTCCATGTCTGTTCTCTGTGCTTTTATCTTGTAACATCATATCCTGATGTCAGACTTTATTCTTCATAGTCTGATTCACAAGGAATTATTAGAAAAGACTTATTTTAAAGATCCATCTCCTTAGGAATAATTATACACACAAAAGTCATCTCTTGTATAATTGAAAGTCTGAGAATAGAAGAAGTGGACCATTTTAATGGTTATGTATGTGTAGCCAACAGCATCTGCTTTTTTAGACATTTCAGGACTCCAACTAAGCATGAGTCTCACATCAGAAAAAATACAAGAGCCATCTACTTCCATTGTTTGGGTGTTTTTTAATGGTCTAATAAATCATTGATAGCTCTATAGACTTTCCTTCATACCTTCCTACTACCGACAGAAAAAGAGAGTATTCTTCCATTCTCTACCAGTTTTGTGCTAAAACAGCACACTTGTCAAAACAGTGAAAGCTTCACTGTTCCAGGTGTGTGATCAATACACAAAGATGTCAGAGATCCACGGTGAGAGGAAGGTCATCCTTTGGATGCAGAGTCTAAAAGTTCATGATAGTTCCCAGTTGTATTAACAGTGGATCACTTACCTTAGCTGATAGACAGGTCTGCTAACAGTTTGTAGAATGTGAAAACAAACAGAAATACACCTATGCTATGTGACAGTTCTATTGATACACCTTGAAAGTTTTAGCTTCCACCATAACATCCCCAAAGACAGTCACCCTCTGGGATCCAAATAAGAAGAAATACTCAGGAAAAAAAAAAAAAGTAGTAAAGACGCCCTTAGAAGCAGAGACTCTGTCTTTTAAAAATAACCAGATCTCAAATACAGAGTTAGTTTGACTTGTTATGGGTCATGGAGATGCTTTGCTCTTCCTAGAATTAAACATGCTTCTGCTCTCTAAAAGTACATCCGCATGAAAACAGCACGTATTAGTATAAACGTAAAGCAATATTGCTGGGCATCTCTCATACTCTCCTCCCGCCAGACCCCTAACTTAATGATTTGGCTTTAGTTTTTTTAATTCTGGCAATGACAGTGTTCCATTTTATTGTATCTGTAATACCAATTTAAATACTTTTCAGATGTCAGCTTGAGGTATGAATGTGTGTTTTGGGAATTGGGATATCAGAGATGTTTCCCACACAAATGTTGCTGCATCTACTTGCCATATGCCTAACAGCCCTGAAGAGCAGGGTCTTATTTCCAGATTATTTAGACTTCAATTGTAGCTCATAAATTCTTACAGAGAGTATCTGCATTTCATGTACATCTAAATTATGAGAATTCAATTATATATGTTGCTGAGGGTGGGAAAGTAGAAATCAAGTAGCAACTTAAATCATGTATGGTGATTTTAACATCATTCTGGTCAATGCGCATAAGCTGTGCAATGGACATCAGATGTGAGAAGTTAATTTATTGTACTCAGTATCAGTTTCCTCTTGTGTCTGACAGTGGTACATCTCACCACACACTGGGGGGTTCTAGGGTTTTTATACAACATGACATGAAATGCCAGCTTCATCTACAGCTGCACTGAAAAAACAGCAAGCTATTCCAAAGCTGGAGGAAATATGTAGCTGTGTTGGAATTATCTGGAGAAAGCATGTTAGTCTCCAATATGGTGACTAAAGGATTTCCAAAGACAATTTAGCTTCTACGAAATATTCATATTATTTGCCATCTTTAGAACTAACTCCCTTGTAAGATGTGGCCCTGATGTATTGATCAAATAAAGGTAGATCAACACCCTAATTTTACAGAGTCTCTTTATTCTACTAATTTTCTATAAATGGCTTGGTTGCCTTTAAGATGGTGTGACTTCTTTTTTTTGTTTTTTAACTTTTAGGTTTGGGGGTACATGTGAAGGTTTGTTACATGGATAAACCACGTCATGATGTTTTGTTGTACAGATTATTTCATCACCTAGGAATTAAGCCTAGCACTCAATAGTTTTTTTTTTTCTGCTCCCCTCTCTCCTCCTACCCTTCACCCTCAAGTAGACCCCAGTGTCTGTTGTTTCCTTCTTTGTGTTCATAATTTCCCATGATTTGGCTCCCACTTATAAATGAAAATCATGTAGTATTTGGTTTTCTGTTCCTGCATTAGTTTGCTGAGGGTAATGGCTTCCAGCTCCATCTATGTTGCCACAAAAGACATGATCTCGTTCTTTTTTATGGCTGCATATTATTCCATCCATGGTGTATATGTACCACATTTTCTTTATCCAATCTGTCATTGATGGGCATTTAGGTTGATTCCATACCTTTGCTATTATGAATAGCACTGAAATGAACATTCAGATGCATGTTTCTTTATGGTAGAATGATTTATATTCCTTTGGGTATATATCCAATAATGGGATTACTGGGCCAAATGGTAGTTTTGCTTTTAACTCTGAGGAATCACCATACTGCTTTCCACAATAGCTAAACCAATTTACATTCCCACCAGCAGTGTGTAAGTGTTCCTTTTTCTCTGCAACCCAGCCAGCATCTGTTATTTTTTTACTTTTTAATAGTAACCCTTCTGACTGGTGTGAGATGGTATCTCATTGTGGTTTTGATTTGCATTTCTCTAATGATCAGTGATATTGAACTTTTTTTCATATGCTTCTTGGCCGCATGTATATCTTCTTTTGAAAAGCATCTGTTCATGTCCTTTGCTCACTTTTAAATGGGGTTGTTTTTCTCTTGTAAATTTGTATGCATTCCTTATAGATGCTAGATATTAGACCTTTGTAAGATGCATAGTTTGCAAAATTTTTCTCACATCCGTTAGGTTGTCTGTTTACTCTGCTGACAATTTCTTTCGCTGTGCAGAAGTTCTTAAGTTTAATTAGATCCCACCAGTCAATTATGACTTTTGTTGCAATTGCTTTCGGTGTCTTTGTCATGAAATCTTTACCTGTTCGTATGTCCAGGATGCTATTGCCTAGATTGCCTTCCAGGGTTTTTATAGTTTTGGGTTTTACATTTAGGTATTTAATCCATTTTGTGTTGCTTTTTGTATATGGTGTAAGAAGGGGACCAGTTTCAGTTTTCTGTATATGGCTAGCCAGTAATCCCAATAAGATGATGTGATGTTTTTGTGTCTTCTCAAAGCAAGAGTCTTTTCTTGATCTGATTTTGGAATAAAATGTGAATTAAGGAAGTGAATATTACTCAAGCAAAGTTCTACTTCTCATGCATATTATGTTCAAATTTTGGAGAAAGGAAACGGTAACATTTTCAATTTTCCAAGCACTATTTGCAAGCACCATACATTTTGCTCATATTTTAGGATATTTATAATATATTGTGATTACCTTAGTTTGTCAGGGTTGCCATAACAAAGTACCACAAACTGGGTGGCTTAATCCACAGAGATGTCTTATAGTTCTTACAGCTCTGGAAACTAGAAACTCAAGAACTGTAGGGTTCTTTCCATATGATGACTTGAGAAAGATCTGTTTAATGCCCCTCAACTCATTTTTGGTAAGGTGTTGGCAATATTTGATGTTCCTTAGCCCATAGATGCATCACCCTGATCTCTGCCTTTTTGTTCACATGGCAATCTCCCTGTGTGCCAGTTGGTCTGTATCCAACCTTCTTTATAAAAGTCCTAAAAAAGACTATTGTCCTTATAAAAGTCCTTATAAATGTCCAAAAGATCCTATGGATTATAGGTTTGTCTTATTCCAGTATTGACCTCATACTAACGAATTACATCTGCAATGACACTATTTTTAATTAAAGTCACACTCTGAGGTACTAGGGATTAGAACTTCAATATATGAATTTTGAGGGAAAACAATTCAACATCTAACAACAATTAGTTAACATGGCTTTATTTTCTTATTTAGTTATTATTTGGGAATGTTCACACTAAAATGCAAACACATCAGCTCGAAAAATCATTTCAAAGTAATCAATCAGCGAGTTTTACTGAGTGTCTAATTTTCTGCTAAATATTATTAGATATTGTTAGAGATAAAAAAGAGATATAAAAAAGAACCATTTTCTAAAACAGTCTATCTCCCCACCTAGTAGAAGTGACAAAACTAACCAACAGCAGCAACCTGTTTTACACAGAAAAACACGTTAAAACACATCTAATTACAGAACCAAACATCCTACATCTTTTCCACATAATCTGACAACACCTTATTTTTTGTTGTTGCTTTTTCTACAGGTATATTTTGAATCAATGTTCCTTGGTCATATTCCTGAAAATGTTCAAATTCATAAGAAAGCAGGTCCTGTTTATGGATTCAGGGGCTGCATTCTAGACCTTCAAGTAAACAACAAAGAATTCTTTATCATCGATGAAGCACGACGTGGAAAGAATATCGAGAACTGCCATGTCCCTTGGTGTGCTCATCATCTGTGCCGCAACAATGGCACCTGCCTCAGGTCAGTACTAGACTCCTGATTCCCAACCTACACTGCATGACTCCAAATTCTTAAAAATAAGAGCCAGCAGCATTGTCCTCTGAGAGAGGGAAAAGACAAGTCCAGGACTCTCAAGTTTTTCTATGCATCACCTAGACTATGCACACATGTGGTAAATTCTTGTTTTTCCAAAGAAATGTACATATTGTAGCTCAAGTGACAAGAGATTCTCAGACTCTGACAATAACTAGGTAACTAGACCTGGTTTTGGCAATTTCAAATGCATCCACATTTTTATCTAGGTGTTCCAGCTTTTTATAAATATGAATGAGAGGCTATTATTCATTGGTGATGATTTTGATATATTTATTAATTTTTATATTTGTTTTTTATTCATCTGCCAAAAAAGAATCTGCTTAGATTGCTAAGATTAGAGATGAAGACAAAATTATATCTGTTTTCTCTTTTTATTTGCAATCCTATATCCTTTTTGCTTCTTGAAGCAGATTTATCATGCTTATAAACTTAAGAAGATTTTAATTAAAATTAATTTTGCTCCACTTAAATGTCTTAACTGAATCAACCCTGAGGGAGTCTCATTTGAACAGTGTAAAACATATTCCCAATTTTCTTCTGTCATCTGAGGATTCTTTATTTTGGGGCTACAAATAATTACAGAATGGAAGCTGAAACAGATACAACTTACAATAATTCAAGTCAAGGAAAAATTGACCAAATCACACAGGAAATATTTTAATTAATTAACCTCAGTATTTTCAAGGGGCAAGTTATCAAGCAGTCAATAATGACTCCATAAAAGTAAATATCTCCATGCGTAGTGTAGAAAAGAGAGAAATTTTATCAATAAAAACAGGATTAAAAAATGGTAGACAGAAACAAGCTCTGATAGTGATCACTAGAATAGAAAATTTTTAAAAAGAGGGAGAGAGAAAGAACCAAATCGCAAAGACAAGAAACAGAGGACTGGACAGGTATGATAAAATCAAGGTGATGTATTTACCAATCGCAGAATGACAGTAATAAATTTGGGAAAAAAAAAAAAAAAGCATGGTTAGTGGAAGAGAGAGTTTCTTAGAGTGTCTAGAAATTTGGCTTCTGATTCACTGTGTAAGTATGCGACTTACACAGTGAATTTACACAGATTTATACATTGGTACAATAACAACAGCAACATAGACCTATTGAACATAAGTACCACAGATACAGATTTAAAGAACTAAAAGAGAGTAAATGTGGGGGCTGAGGATATCTCCTTGACTATCATCACTTTCCTCAAGGCTTTACTCAACAAGTATTTTGCTTTATAATGGACCTACTAATACCCAATTGTTTTTCAAAATCTAATAATGCAAAAATAATTTAGCAAGGCAACCTTCAGAATCCTGCAAAAGGACTTGCAATTCTGTTGAATTAAGCAAAACAGGAACAAGAAAAAACTTCTCTACTGACGTTGCTAATGTCTGAAATATTTGTGTCATTCAACCTAAGTAAATATTTTCCATGAGGCTTTATTACTGATGAAATTACAGAAGTGACGAGAACTGTGTTTTCTCCCTCCCTGTATGTGGTGAACACACTCTCCTATGGCCCTGCAGTCCCCCTCCTGTTGTTCATGCCTTTGTGTGATCTTCCCTCCTTGCCTGTGGATGAGACCTGTGACTTGCTTTTAACCAACAGACTATCCGATAAACTAAGGTGATGAGATGTCACCTCCAGGATTAGACTACATAGAAGTGTAAGCTGTAAGTTACAAAGAGATTATCTCTTTTGCTGCCTTTGAGGAAGCAAACAGCAGTTTGGGGAAGGCCCACATGACAAGGCACTGAGGCAGCCTCCAGCCAATAAGAAGCAAGGAGTTGAGGGTGTCCCTTGGCTGACAACCAGCAAATATTGAATCCCTCATTCTTACAACTGTGAAGAATTGAATTTTACCACCAACCACATGATCTTGACAATGGGCCCTTTCCCCAATCAAGACTTGAGATCAAGACCCCCAACCTAGCCAATACCTTTACTGCAATGTGAGATTCTTATGCAGAAGACCCAGTGAATCCATGCCCAAACTTGGCTCTTGGAAACTGTGAGTTAACTGTTAGTATGTTCTTTTAAGCTGCTAAGTTGGTGTTAATATTGTTATTCAGGAATAGAAAACTAATACACTCTCATTTCCTGGAAAAGTATCTAACATTAGCAACTCAGAAAAATTGGTAAGGATAAGGTTTATTTTAGAACATTAACTTTCTGATATTTTGTAAGCCAAGTACATGTTAAATAAAGTAAACCTCTTATCTGCATGAATTAAAGAACATCACATTAATTCCAATCTCAGTTATTTAATATGTATTTGAAAATAACAATAAAGATAATCATCCTAACAGGATATATATAAGCAGTCCTAGATTTATTTATACTTTATATATTGATTCTCTTAGACTTATTCCAACAAACACTGCCTGAGAGCCAACTAAGAGCCAAGATATATGTAAATCAAAGACGTATATTCAAAAAACATAAAGAGTTTTTATTCTAGTGTGGAAGCTCTATCGGCTCTTCAGGACTTAAGGTAAATTTTCCCACAAAAAAAATTGTATCTGTCAGTCTTCATCATGTACATTATCTCGCCTTCCATACTCATTTCTAAATTTTTCAACCTCTCAACCACAACTCCAGAGAAATCTACTGGAATGTCAACCGATTTGGCATGCACTATTTAAAGACTTGCAGATCTGTATGTCCCTTTATATTGCTGGCCAAATGGAGATGTAGCAGTTGTGTATCATTAAGTATAACACTTATTCGCATCTTATGAACAACATGCTTTCTATCTTGATTGCCAGGGCTCAACTCCTGTAAACTACTACTTACACCGTTGCATATAGGACATGCTGCTCCATAGCAGCTATGACTTATATTCCCACAATCCCCTTGTGTACTCCAACACGTGATACGCTGGAGTTGGCCAGTTCCAGAATAACAATTTTTTTTTTTTTTACCTCTTGAAAAGATCCAAAAAGAGATGCCTATAGTATATCAGAAGTTTAATATAAGAGAACAGACAGCTATAGGACCACGGAGGAGATTACCAGAATAAGAATACTGTCTTCCCATCAATACCCAACCCTACAGCTAGCACTCCAGCAGTCTATGCAGTAATCCAAAAAGGAGAACCAGAAAATGTACTGAAGAGGAACGTAGACTCCCAATGAGACCATAAGCAGTTTCAGCTCATTAAGAAGAACACGTTTCAAAGAGGTAGGACACAGAGGGCTGTCACCATGACTAACTTTCTCCCTCAACAGATGCATACTCACACTTGGCATACACAGAGCAGTGTAGAGTCTTCCAAGAAAGAAATTTAGAGAAACCTGTGCTACTGAGTGAGCCCATTCTGATTTTGACAAAATGGATCTGAACTGACTTCATGATTTTGGTAACTCACTTCCTGTCTATGTTGTTAGCCGAAGCCAAAGGTTCTTTTTCTTTCTGCTGCCACATCATAAAGTGGATTTCTCCAAAATCTTCTAAACTCTCTTCCAATCCTTCTCACCCTTTGGCTTTGTTTTTTTCCCTCAGTCCATGCCATGTGACCTGATCTCACTCCTGAGCCCATCTAGGCAGAATTCTAAACTTCCCTTGTCTTTCCTCCTATTTTCTCAGAAGAGAAAATTGGACGCAAGACAGCTTTCAAAATAGCAGATCAATTTCAATAAGATGTGTTAATATTCAGCCTTTCTGGATTCAGGGAGGATGGACAAGATGGCCTGATGAAATTGTTTATAGGCTTATACATTATATTACTTTACTTTCAAAGTAATAGACTGTTTATGTTCAGAATAAAAGAATGATTATTACAGAGACAGGAAGAAAACCCTTTTACCTCTCTGCTTGCTCCTCTCAAAATACGCAGATACTGATGTTTTAATACTGTAGCATGTATGCATAAAGTTTTTACTTTGAAATACACATAACAATTCCTCATCACAATTTAATCATTCTGGGCCAGGACTCTTAATTGAAAGGTTGGGGAATGTTTCCTAATGGGGTATATGAGAACCTTAAGAAAGAGAGATTTTTCAACACACACACACGGGCATTCTAATCTGTATCTCCTGAAAACACATGCCTATTTTCCCTGATAAGTAAAGAATAATAGTGTTACAATATGAGATAACCCCTAAAGAAACCAGCTCTCTACGCAAGAGTGGGGTAGTGAATGAACAGAGTTTCAGAGCCATAGAGTTAGACCTTAGGGTTCACAAAATGAAATGCTGTTACAATGGATATTTGTAAGCAAAATCATCACTAATTTTTGTACCTTGGTTGATCTAATTTACTGCCGTAAAGTGCTGTTCCTACACTGTCTACGAATGTAATCTGCTTAGAAGAAGACAAATTTCATGTTGAAAAGTATTAAGGAAAGTAACACTTCAGCAGCTTTACTGAGCAAATGTCATTCTGCTTTGAGTACCATCACAAGTTTCTGGACAGTGTCCAATCTTTTTTCATTTTGTTATAAATCTGTACTAGAATTTTCAAACCCCTGTGGTTGCTCATTTCAGAGAAGTCCAAATTGCATGTAGTGAAATTCAGTTTAGAAAGTGATACAGAAGGGTTATTCTGAGTATCCAAATCTCTATGGACTTAAAACAAGCTGTTTCCAAAAGGGCATAGGAAGGTTAGTAAATTAAACGATAATATTTAAATCACTTTCCCCTTTCTGAGCCATATGTTTTTAAATAAGTTAAACAGTAATTAAAAGGAGCATCAGGTTTGGGAATATACCCTATACAACCACGACACTAGAAACTTACATCACTGACATTACAGTAAATAATTATTGAGACATTAATTTTAAATTTATTCTTAATTTTACCAGAACCTAAGCACATATAAATGTATTTTATCATCAGTGAAAGTCAATAATTTCCACATCTCAATGAATCTGCTTTCTATGCTTCTAACTGTTCTCATAGTTTTTATTCATCACTAACCAATGCTAT